AACATTTTAGAAGGGCTCAGTCTCTCCAGATGTATAAAGGTCATTATGTTTCTTTCTGACATTCTTTTCAGAAGGTTTTTATCATTAAAGTATTTTCTTCTGGTTTCCTGATAAACAGTGAGATTTTTTGGCCTTTCTGGCACCTGTAGTTGGCTGTTGTGTTTTTATGCTGATACAATCATTCCTCTACATCTAGTAAAAGCTCGAAAAAAAAGTCATAGGGAAGTCATATTTAAAAGTCAAATCATTCTGGCTTAAACATGTATATAAATGTACTCTTTATCAGAAGATATCGTTCTCAAAAGTAAAAAAAATCCTATCTTAAAATCTATTTGTTTTTTTCGTTATTTTATGCAGGCCAGTTAGTTATACGTCAGCTTGTACACCTTAATTCGGACAATCATATATTAAGGGTGATCTGTCAATCAAATGTTTTCGGTCATAGCATCTTGATTCATATGTTGCAGCTAATACAACGATTGAAATATCCTTGTGTATATTAGCTGCAACATATGGGCAGGCATAGAGCTAACAGAACTGGCGGCGTTGCGAGGTAAGGGCTCAAACATGTACGGCTGTAAGCCTTCTACACCAAACCAAGCTTCTGCTAACTGATCAGCAAGATGCTTCCGACAAACTAGCCACAAACAAACTTGCTTGTGAACCTTCTACCACAACAATCCCGCCCCCTTGATAAACGACCAATCTCATTTTATTCACTCATGTAAAGTCGGGCACCACGCGAGAGAATTCAGAAATCCAACGGTCGGAACAGCCGCTTCCCTACGACTTTAAGAAGTAAATTGTCATTAAAATGAAAATAATGGAAATTCTGTTCACCATTGGGAATATGAAGTGAGCAGTTTAAAAATGACTGGTCTTTAATTTATTACAAAGACGGTTTTCTGTACATTGGCGTCTCACCGGCTGGAACTGCAGCTTCTGTTTGTGAAACTAACTTCATCTTCTCTGTCTGCAGAAGCGATACAGAGCAGTGTACGACTACGCCGCTGCTGATGACGACGAAGTGTCCTTTATGGACGGAGACGTGATCGTAGACGTGCAGCAGATCGATGAAGGCTGGATGTACGGCCGCGTGGAGCGCACCGGCCAGCAGGGCATGCTGCCCGCCAACTATGTGGAGGCCATCTGAATGATCGGGGGAACGTCCAGTAAAGGAGAGGAGATAACGAAAGGGAGGGAAGGAAGGAAGGGAAAAGCCCAGTGCCATCTCATCTTAACACCGCTTTCTCTTAATTTTACTCTGGTTCCTTAACAATCTGTCCTGTGATCCTAACCCTCCTCCGCTCTGCACCCCCGCTCTGCTCTCACTGTCCGCCGCCTGTCCTCCTCTCCATCAGCCTGCTTCATGTACGTCCGTCTGTGCCGATGTCTCTGCTTCCTCTTTGTCCATGATCCATTCAGACTTGGCTCTCATAGAGAGAATCTCACTAACAGGAAAGTCAGGGGTCATGTCTGGTCGCACGGCTTCATCAGAGCTACGTAGCAATGGCACACAAGATATGAAATGCATTTACCAGCTGTTAGACCAGCTGCTAATATTCTGTAGCGGAGATAAAGAAAAAAACAGCAGAAAGCGAAAGTTTGTCTTAAATCTGCAGCTCGATCTTTGCCAGACTGGAAACGGTGTTTTATCTCAGTTCATCAGACATAGGCTTGAATATTTCTTTTCTCTTATCATTTTTGACTTGTGTTCTTTCCTTTAGCTCGGAGCTCTGGTGCACCGACCGGCTGCTCAGAAACAAAGAGGTTTATTACCTTTGTAGATGGACCTAAATCTTAAAACTATGGGGTATGGTTTGACACTGCTGGGTGTTTGCTGTGAAACTGGAACTTTAGCCTAACTGAAGAGCTCCTCCTACGGGAGGGATCAGGGACAAGTTGGCGATCAATAAGAGTCCATCTCTGACATCCATTAGTATGATCAAACTGTGCAGAAGTCCTCATTCCTGTTTTTTTTGCAGCTCAAATTATTTATCTATTTAGAAGAGGAAACTTTCCCAATGCTAGGAAATCTCTAAAGAAATGGTTTTATAAAAAGAGGGCGCCAAGCACAACTTTGTATTGTGATTCTCTAGGTTTTAACTTTGTTCCACTGTATGTGTAAAACATTCCAGTCATTTGTTTCTATTTAATGTGAGAAAAATCCTTTTGCTGTGTTAAATGTTCTTTCTCATGCTGTTCTTCATTTGCCTGTCTTGTTTTTAAAAACAAATAAACTATCAGTGTGTTTAAATAAAGATTTGGTTTTGGGACCCAAGAAAACAGACTTTATGTCAAACTGCAGTCATGATATCGGATCAGATGTGGGATTTATCTGCTTTTAATTAGATTTCCAGATTTATGCAGCAAACCTTGCTCTTACCGTTGATCCTGACAAGGTGTTGATAGGTGTTCGGTTACGTCATGCCCCTGGCTCTACACACTTCTCCCCCTTTTCTCTCCCATGATGCACTGTGAGTGGGGCATGTAGGGGAGGGGCTCTAACATGTAGCTTGATGACGTCCTGTAAATGTAAATGCATCAATAAGGCCTCTGGAAGGCAGATATATTTTTTTGCAGATCTGGGGTAGGAATTTGATTTGAAACGTTGGAAAACGTCTTTGAGATCTTTCAAATCTAACGTAAACATGTTGATAAAAAAAATGAGCACTGGATCAGATAAACGATCATCCTCACCTTGTTTTATAGGTCGTGCGATTGAACGCTCTGAGCATCAAGCTGCTATCGTCCTCAGCTGGATTTTAGGAGTGAAGAAAGGGGGAATGATTTCAGGCCTTATGTAATTGCTCAGTTATTTTTTCCAGTCGCCTCCCTATCTCCCCTGATTATATCTAGTCCAGCTTGCTTTATCCACAGGGTGTGAATGTCAGTTTAGATGACTCTGAGGGTTGTTTAAATGGGGCTCAGGCTGGATTTGCAAAGTGTGTGATGATGTGTTTGGGGCTTGACAGCGAACAGATGCTTCTCATCTCCCAGCCTGTGGCGCAGGCCAAGTGGTTTGTCTGACCTGGATATTAGTCAGGAGTCGACCTCATCCCAGACCCTGACTTCACTACTGATCCGTATACCATCCCTTCTCCTCCCAGCTTCCCTCTCGTATCCTTTCCTCCTTACCTGCTGCAGAGCTTCTCTCCTGTGCTTCTCATCAATCATTCCCCGCTTCCATCATACTGGTTATATACTGTAGAGTTTGCAGAGTGAAATCATTTTATCCACAATTCCAGGTTTAGCACTGACCAGTTTTGTGCATTCCATATTAAAATGTTTTGGTTTTGATATAGTTTTGTTATTTTTTAAATGAAAAAAAAAGGATCATATGCATATTGTCACACACGTGTATTGAAAAGTCAGAATAAATACTCAGATTAAGGACCTGATATCATCTCCTGTTGCCCTGTTACAGCACTTCAAATTGTACTTATGATTCTGCAGATTCAATAAAATGCCATTTTTTTTCTCAGACTCCCGTTTCTTTGTTTTCACCGTTCAGCTGTCATTGAAACAGACTGCCTTTAAAGATGGGAAAGTAATTTCAATGCTTAGAGGATCAAGTCAGAAAACTCTAAACCCAGCTGGAACATGAAGTTTATTTTTGTTCAGTCTTTGTCTCAAAATTTCAAATGAACAAAAGAACAAAAACAAGCAAAGGTTCTTTAAACACAGTTGTGTGATCATTTTTTAAATCATACTCTAAACCAGGTTGTGTAAATCCTGGTGCTTTGCTGAAAACATTTTATTTGAGTGGTGAAAAACGAGTCCAGCAAAAACTGCTTTATAATGAGTAACTCTCATCTAGAAGAAATATTTGAGGCAATACAGAGATCACATGGAACACCAGGAGAAGTGAACTAAAACACAACCTTGAATAGAAATAAGCAGAATACAAACACGCCTACACATATAAATATGTTTCTGACTAATATAACCCCGTAAAACTGTTCACGGTACAGAATAAAAATGTTTTTTAGGGAGATAACTGTGTTTCTGTAAAATCTCCCATTGCAATAATAGGATATTCCAATTAAGAGTATCAGTGCTGCCACCTCCTGGTTTAAAGGGGAACTGCTAGGGTCTCGTTTTCTTAAACAATGTAAATAATAGTAAAGGCTGAAGTTATAAATCTGAGCTCCATAAATGGGGTTAATCAAAGATTTTAAGGGGAGGGATTTATTTTTTCAGATTGCATATTTGCTAGAAAATATTTTTTCCTTAACAACTGAAACATTTTTAGATATCTGCAATTTTGTCTTTGAATTTGGTCTCATAGAAATGTTGCTAAATGGCCCTGAGGGATTTAGTGTGACAACAAAGGAAGATCAAATCTAACTGATATTATTTCAGCTTGTTCTAGTTTAAAAAAAAAAAGAAAAAATTAGCCAAGAGGAATTTTGTATGCTGTCAAAAAAGACAAATAAAACCCCAAAAAGTTGATAAATTTGAATCTTTCGCATATGCTGTTAGACTTAATGCACAATTTTATTTAAAAACATTTGATCTGAATAAGAAACCAAAGTATTTGTATAATTCTTCCTTCTGTTATTATAGAACAATATTTTTTATTCAGTAATAAGGGATGGAGATAGGATTTTAGATACAGAAATCGCTATAGAGATATGAAAGAAATGAAGGTGTACATCTACTCAGGTTCTGTGTTATCAAACGTTCAAACTTTTGTTTAGATGTATATATATCAAATATATCCATATATATTGGCTCTTCAATGTGAGAATTTTTTTAATTTATAAAACTGACCTCATGAAATAGCCAATGCCCAGATTTTCAGGGTGTGGTGTTTCTCTACAATATTTAGATATATTTTTATATAGATATTATTATTACAGAATCCCCTATAAATGAGGCGCTTTGAGCTTTTAATAAGTTATATTTGACTAAAAATAGCGAAAAGTCTCCCTACTGTCGCTTCTCTTTGTATGGAAGTGGGCGGGGTCTTTTTCTCGGTTCCATCCCGGAATGTTCCGATCTTTTCCGATCTCTGGTGTTTCCGCTGCGCCGCCTCCTCGCAGCTTCCCTCTCCTGAGCGCCTCCACCATGGTGGACATTCTGGTGTTGATGTTCTTCGCCGTCATGGGCCTCGTCTTTCTCTCTTACATCATCTACATGCTGTGATGAGTCAGTCCTCTGCCTGCGCAGCCGGACGTCCTGCATCCGTTCTGCATCCGTCCTGCATCCATCCTGCATCCCTGCTCTCCATCATAGATTTAGGTAAGTCGCTGCTTTAAGGATGCCAGACGCTTTGCATTCGCGATGTGGCAGAAGGCCTTAAATGTTAAGAGAAAAATGTCCCATTAATGTAATAATCCCATAAAAACAATGTCTGCAAACGCTGACCTGGCTGCCTAAAATGTATCTTGATTTATTTCTATAATTTTTTTATTTTCTATCATTTTTAAAAAATCTAAACATAAATAGTTTAATCATTAATTTAATAACTAATTTCACTTTCTTGGCACCCATGATTGATCTGGGAGAATCGCAGAGCTGAACTATGGGGAGATGAACTTAAACACACATAGATAGAAAGATTTATTATTTTTGTTGTTGTTGTTTTTTTTTTGTTGTTGTTTTTTTTGTCAGGTTTGGGTTTAAAGATTTAGGGTTAATCTTTTCTAAGCCAACATTTGAGTTTTATATGGCATCAATATACTACTACTGCTGGAACTAGAATTTCCTGGGCTAGGGTAATCCCAAAGGATAAAAAAAAAAAGTCTTTATTCTTTAGCCTATATTTATGTGTAACTAAGATATCCAAGCATTTTTTTTTTTAATGTGTGGTTAATTATAAAAATATTATTCCATTTGTGCAGTTCTTTTCAACAGCCGGACGGTAGTTTTCTTTCACTGAATGAGTTCTGGGAAGCCACTCCGTTCCAAAGTCAGCCCCGACATCTGAAGGGATCATTTTAAGGGTTGGAGGGCATTTCCCCCTAGCTCTTATAACTATTGGGACAAACTAACTTTACACATCAACGCGCAAAACCGAGTGCTATAGGGACCAAACCGAATGCAAGTGAGAGAAATGGGACTGGGCCAAAATCTAAGAAGCTGGTCACCTATAAGGGGTTTGATTGCTTTAAGAAGCTGTTGTCCTGGTAAAGCTTCTCTCCTCTCCTGTTTTTCAAACTAAATGCATAGCTGAGTGCTTTTTCCCACAATAAATGTGGCTATTATTAGAAAATGTGACCAAGAAGTGTTGATATCAGATGTAAATGATTTTAAAGCTAAGTTTTTTTTTTAATAATTTAATTTCTTTTGATCACACAAAGAAACCAAAACAACAACTCAATTCAATGTCATTTTAATAAAAATATTTTTTCCTTTTTTTAAAATCTCTGGATTCTGATCAGAAAACCCGATTTAAAATACCTGATTAGTGAGGACCCTCTTTATCTCCATCCAGCTAACCTTGATGTTTTTTTTTTTTTTTTATCTTTTCCAGATCCTGATGCAGGTCATGATGTTTCTCCTCTCAGCTTACAGACGGAACATGGGAAACCCAGAGGAAGACCAATGGAGACCTTTCTTATTTTCTTGTATTTTCCTCCATCTTTGGCCTCAGTTCATCCTCTCCAACAGCCCTGCAGCCCTTAATGCTTTCCTTCAATCAGTGTTATCCATAAAACAGGATGTTTCCACTGTGTTTTCCTTCATGCTTCCTTATTGATAGCAACAGATCACTCATACTGCTACGTTTAAATGTTTGTTTTCCTAATTTTGTCCCATCTGGCTAAACAAATTATTTGTATGAAGACAGATTCTTTATTTGTATCCATATCATAATGTTATGCTTACAGATGCACTGATAATCAGCTAAAACATGTTTTACAGGATTTTAATTAAAGATAATGTCACAAACAACGTTTCCTCCTCATCATTACAGCTGTAAAGTAAAGCGGAACTTTGCCTTGTATAATATGTAATGGGCCTAATGGTTAGAGCAGTGCGTTTGTGCTCTGAGAAGGTTGTAATACCCGGTTCGATCCCCACAGCCTGCACTATGGGAATCTGAGCCAGACCCTGCAGCGGGCTGCACAATGGCAGCCCACTGCTCCCCCAATTAATGTGTTAAATGCAGAGGTAAATTTCTCCAATGTAAGATCAATAAAGTTCAATTATTATTCTTAAGTCACTGAAGCTAATGCTAATCCTTTAATATCAGGAAAGACCCCTGCCTTTCATTGAAAGATAGCTGCAGTTTATCCTGGCTGATGGTGACTACCTTTAATAAGGTTTGCTTCCCTTTGTTAAAGCAGTTTTAAAATATTAATCAAAGGTTCGTTATATGATTTTTTTTTTTCAGACTTGTTATTAGGAGCCATAAATGAAATGAAGGTGATTTATTAGATCCTCCTTTATTTGGAAGAATATCTCCTAATTACCCACCTGTTGGGAAATCTATCCGATTAATTGGGGGGTGGTGTATTAGTGGTTAGCGCAGTGCGCTTGTACTCTGAAAAGGATGCAGGTACCCAGTTCCATCCCTACAACTTGCACTCTGGGTCCCTGAGCATGACCTTTAACCCCACACTGCTTTTCGGGCGCCACACAGTGCCATCCCAAGGGGATGGGTCAAATGCAGAGGTAAATTTCTCCAGTGTGAGATTAATACAATTCAATTATTTTTATTTTTAAGGTTTTTGTGATTTGGATTTTTTAAAGTCACATATTTGGACATTTATTTTTATCTTTTTTACTTAATAAGGTAATAAATGTTTTTGTTTTATGATGACAAGCACAGCCTGGAATGACTTGTGAAACCAACTTACGGGTTTGTATTGTTGGGGATTCATAAAATGTCAAATTTTGTTTGGAGTCTGAGTTTTGAAAGGCGCTTGAAATAAAATGTATTATTATTATTATTATTATTTAGAGCCACTTAGAGACGGCGCCGGGAGAGCATAGGTTATAACTTCAGTGTTTGAGTTCTGTTTTTCAGAGATTAGATGAGTTAAAAGCTTTCTGGGCTCAGGACGGACTTGACTGTTGCCCTTTGGGGCAAAGTCTAATATTCAGGTAAAAGGAAGTTTAGCATTTTCTTTGGAATGGTGAAATGAATGAGTGCGTACTGTACAATGCTTTAGCATACTTTTCAGTCGCCTGATATTCGTATTTTAGAAATAGTTTTTATCCCCTTTTGTATTATTTTATATCTATAAATGCATGTTGCCTGACCTGCAGCCATTTCACCTAGTTTGATTTATTTTATTTTATTTAGCCACATTATGACCTATACCTGAAATATCCACCAAGGGGCGACCTTGAGCTTCAGACATGCCCCCCTTTTAATTACAAACAATCTTCTGCTGTGATGCTTGATTGGAGTCAGATGCGTCGTAAGTTTTTCTTTGTTTATTTTTCCATTCTAATTATGTTTAAGATTATTTTCAACAGACGAAAATTAAACATTGCATTCACATGATATAAATTTGTGACATCTTGGGATATAGACCAAATAATAAACGATTAGAAAAGGAATAATAACGCTCAGTGGTCACTACATACCACCAAGCTGCCTCTTAAAATATACTTTTTATGATGTTAATAGTTTGATCATAGTTTATTTCTAGTTTATTTCTTTTTGCAATAACATATTTAAAACATAATAAATTGAGTCAAATATGAAGCACTTATTAAAATGATCTCAAACAAAACCATGACTTTATGCTTTTAAAAAAAATCTATTTGGTAGGAAAATGGTCCATGATTGGCTCACTTGCTTTGCTTCAAATTCTCACCGAAATTAATCCAATAGTTTAATATACTCTAAAAAAAAAAATGAATTACAGCTAGAAATTATTTAAATTTTATGTTTGCAGCCAACATTTCTTGACAAAATGGGATAAAACTCTGAGGAAGCCCTTGAGTCTTAATAAACTTTTATTTTTGCATGTTTGGATTTAAAAATAAGATTTTTGTTAGTGAGCTGTACAGTTATTTATGGAAACTGCTTTATTTCTGAGTGGACCTGTGAGATTTTCCTTTCTTTTATACACTCTTTCTCAAAGCTACATCATGCTGATGCTTATGGTAATGTGGTAAGAATTGTAGCCATGGGTTTTACATACTGAGAGCAATATAAGTCTTTCTCCTGTAAACATTAGCGGGAAATTTTAAAGGCATATTTCCAAAAATGTTAAATTTTACACATGCAGGGACACAGGAACAGGACGGTAAATAATCTAATTTATTTTGCAGATAGCATAATCTATATATCTGACAATGTCTACTCTTCAAGCAAGGGGCGAATGCTCATCTTAGACCCGTTTGGATCAAACAAGGATGCAGAAAGATGTCTGTTGAGGGGGTGTTGATTGAGAGAAAATGACAGACGGATGGATGCATTGGTTGCATCAGATTGCAACCAAAATGTTTCTCCACTAAATCACAGAAAACTAGCAGGTGATGTTTTGCTTTTCTGTCACAGATGCCTTTATTTTTCCATTGCAGCCATACTTTGGCCTGTGATAAATGGCCTTTTTGTTGTGTTTTATTGTTACTTAAAAAGGGAAAAAATTCCCTAAGAGAGCCATCTGGCTGCCTTAGAGCCGCTGGCAACATTCCTTGCCTCTGATATTTGGATTCATTTTTTAGATTGTTGGAAAATGTGCAAAATAATCAACATTAATCAACCGAATGACCAAGTTCTGAGGTCCAATGATGTGTCCACAGAAGAAAAACAACAAACAAACTCTGAGACAAATGATGTGGTCTGCTTTAGAATACAACAACACCGTTTTAAGCATTTTTCACTTGTACAGCTGAAAATAAATAACGTGGGAAACATATTTTTTTCAGTAAATTTTGTAAATCTAAAGGAAATCAAAGAAACATGCTTTCTTTGCAATCTAAAAAAGATGCAGCAACATTTTATATTATAATAATATAATATCTGCTCAATAAATTAATCTCTATTTAAGAGGATTACAATAATCAAGATGATTAAAGTACCATCTAAAACTGTGTCCTACAGAGAATTTGACTTATTTAGGCTTTATTCATTACAAGCAGGACATAGATCTTACTACAAATAGCCTAAAGGTGGAATCATCCAACATTCTTCTTCACTATAAAGTCAAGTGGGAGCAAGAAAAAAGAAAAAGGAGGCCTAAAAGGGATCCCTGTGGAACACAGAGAGGAGAGGAAGATCCTCTAGACTAACCCTGGAGGTTTGCTTAGTCAAATATAATTTGAATCAACTGCCGTGCCTGAGATCAAATGCAGCAGTTTAGAACAAAACCACAAACAGATGCATCTGCCTAAATCTGTTGACACAGTATCTTATTAAACACATAAAAATCTGCTGATCTTGTGTTATCTTAACCCATTAAACTAGAATTATTAAAACAATTATCTAATTTAGCTTATTTACATAGTGCCAATTCACAACATGTCATCTCAAGGCCCTTTACAGAGAAAATTCAACCAGATCATACAGTCAAATTGATTCAAAGTTTTCTATCTGAGGAAAACTAGCTGATTGCATCGATTCATTGACTCGAAGGCAATCCCTCACACCGAGCATGCTTGTAGTGACAGTGGAGAGGAAAAACTCCGGGACGAAAGCTCCAACAGAATCAGGCTCGGTGTGAGTGGCCATCTGCCGAGGTCGACTGGGGTTCAAGGAGATAGAAGCAGACAAACAGAAAGTAGAGATACAAAAGGCTAATGTCAACCAGCTTCACATGCCGCCCCATCCAGGAACCACACAGCCAGGCAGACGAGCTCTCAGCCTGCTCCCATGTCAGAGGATGAAAGAGAGCACATACAGTTAGTGACAGTCAGAAAAACAGGACTACACTGAAAATCTGAATATCTATATAAAAACATATTTTCCAGGAATGTTAGACACTATGCATTCTAGTATAGTACTTTTGATTAGATTTTTTGCTGAACTTGTCTGCATCATTGCTTTTATTTACCATCCATATCTTGTCAGCCTGGAGCAAAGGGGTGCAATACTGGGTTTAAACAGATGAGCTCCAGGGTTGCCTTTACTATCACAGCCTGGTAGAAGGTGGAGATTAATGTTTTTTGTCCTTAAAAGCAAAACATAAAATCATTGGGTGTGGTTTCACACTTTTTTCATTTCATGGCAACATGTAAATTCCAGCAACCCCTCTGTCCAATGCAGGGGTTTTTGGAGGGAATTTAAAGGTGGAATTAAGCATAATGATAGAATACCTCCAACAGGGGCAAAGAGAGGGGGAGGGAGGACAGAGAAAGTGCCAATTAAGGAAAAGTCGACAATGAAAGACTAAAATTTGTGGGAGGGGGTGCCTGTGAGAGAAGCCATGGCCTTCGGCTGTGTAGTGGGAATCTCCCATGTGTAGCACGAGAGGGAAACAGCAGAGGATGTCTTTTTCCTGCCCAACCAAGAATGCCCGGACCTCAAGGTCTCCCTTTTTTCTAAACTTATTGTAGTAATAATATATTTTGTGGGGATTTGATCTGTTTTGGTTTGTCCCATTCAGACTCATGAAGTGAAAGAAAATATTCCTTCCTGGAAAACATATCTGACTGAACTACAGGTCCCAACATGCGCCCCACACAATAGTAGGCGGGCACCAGGATTGCTGCCAGCCAATGGCTTCGAGCAGGGATCTGTGGTTGGTGAGCTGCAAGGCAGCTGTTGTCAATGGCAACAGAGGTTTGCTGAGAAGCATGAGCTGGACAGCTGGTAGAGGGTCCCTCGGTCCCCTGCCAAGGGGTCACGTGGTCCCCTGGCAGCCAATCTCAACCCTCCGCCCTCCTCTCTGCCTGGCTCCTTCTCTCCCATTTGCTCGTTCTGGCTCCCTTTCAGCTGCAGCAGGAGGGGGAGGGGAGATGGAAAGAGAGGAGGGAAGTGGCGACAGAGCTGG